TTTTGAAAGCTACAAGTCAAAGCGAATTNCAAACAGTTTCCTTTCTAGACGCCACGGACTAACTAGATCTTTTGGCTCAGACAAGTGATGATCCTCGCCAAACCAAAAGTAGTAAAGTATTCTAGGATTTGCTCTTTCAAACATTTTTGAGAATATGAAATTTAAAGCTCTCATTTGTACGCAGGTCCTTAAACTGTTTAGAATAAATTAAAACCAGGACGTCACTGGTGTGAGTGTCAGGTTCATTTACATGTAACAAGCCTTTGCAATAAAATTTCACTTATACAAAATGAAGGAAAAAGTTTTCTTAATAGGTCGCTCAACATGTTGATAATGCATCTGCAAACTGAACAGTTTTGATCCAGTGTGAATGTGTGTCATGGCTGGAATCGCGACGTAACATAGCCGGATCAGTGATTAGCTAGTGTGGTACGCGATTTCTGAACCAAGACATGTTTCGCAGTCTGTCCTTGAAAGCGTGTTGAATGTCCCCTCATCTTCCAGCAGTAAATTACAGGTTCAAAGATTAATTAAGACATGCGAGAGTCATTGCATGAGAAGAGCAAAAATGTATTCAAAGCTGTACTGGGGCTGTAGATTACAACTTGAGTACAGTACAGCTGACCAGATAAAGCTGATTAGCAAATAACAAACCAAAAACACGGGATATACGTCTAAAAACGTCCCTACGGTAGATTTAATGAGGTTTGCAAAATTCGCCATTTCGCCAGTTTGTGCTGCCTTGTTTTTAAGTTTACATTTACATACCAAAGGGAGGGCACTATCACAAAGATGACGTTGAAAAGTTAAAGGGCACTAGAAATATTGACGGAAACCTTAAAAAATGCTCTTTTTTTGTTAAAATCACCATGTATCTGTGCACTGAAGATAACTGATAAGCGCTATTACTCAGTTGACAAAGTCGGCCAATTTTGTTGTTTCGTCTTGTAAAAATTCGTTTTTTCTCCCCTTCATTTTGGGGTTGTAGGCATTTCTCCGCGCATGCGCGAGCATTCTTGGTTTTAATTTTCGAAGCTTATAATTACAGAGCTGTTTTATTCACGTATTCTTTACATAAGCAGAGGTTCTCTTCATACAAGAAGTTTCAGGCGTTTACACTTCTCCGTTTTTAGATGCAGATGAACTAAAAATGGCTTCACGGGCCCGAAAGGTTTCCCGGGCTTTCGAGAAACGGGCACCTTGCCCGCTGTGGCGCCGAAAGACACCACAGGGTAGATACAGTTATGAGCCAGACAGCGTAGTCGGTGATCTCTGTTTTTTGCGTTCGACGACCGCAAACCTAATTTTGACATGTGGCTCTTCGGAGTTGGTCTCTCTGTGCACGGTTATAGGCCGAAAAAACCACATTCCTGTAAGGACACCAAAATGGCCACCCCGCTTGATTTTTGCAGGGACATGTCACGGCCAGTAAACTGGTACCGTTTAATGCTAAGACATACGATAAGACATGTGGCGAACATGTGAGTATGTGAGCAGGCCACGTGAGCTCGTCTTTCCGATGGATCTTTCTTTGACTTTCCATATAAGCTCATATAGTCGCCGTACGCTTCGCTATTATGTGCTCTCAGCGTTAGATTTAGGCAAATTTAAACGCTTCAACGGTAGCATTTATCGAAATCTGAGGGAATTGTCCTCGTTTATTAAAACGACTTGGCTTTGGAATGATGACCGCGGGAACGGCTACATTTTGATTGCATTTGTTGATTAGTTCCAGGCGCGACAGATAGCTCAGTCTTTATCCGGTCGAAATTTTATTGTTTGGAATCGGTGGAAAAGTACTCTGAAGGCAAGATCCATAAGACTACTTTAGTCATCAGGGGAAATACTCGAATTAGTCGCACGGAGTTTGTTTACGATAAACGGCCACGCGAAACGAGCACGCGTTTGCAAATGCTAGCTTAGAATAATGTACGTAATTTAAATATTCTATGAAACTTGAGAGTCTACAGCAAACTGGCGGCGTCACGCAACGTATCAACAAATCGTGACTTCTTCACTTGTATGGACTTTGACACTATGTATATCTGACTGTAAAACCTCGGTTACCGCTGAAAAATGTTGATTTTAGCAATAGACAAAGGTTGAAAGTCAGCTAGTGAAATCATTTATTTACGGTATATTTTTTTTAAAGTGAGAGCGTCGAACGCACTCTCATAATCTCTGATTACTACTAGTTTTAAATCAGTCAATTAATTCATTTATTTATTTTGTAAAACCCGTAATTACTTTCATCACTATATGCACTTACAATACAGGCTCTTACAATTACACCACTAACATCACCATATTCTGCTTACGGAACAATACTTACATTACTTATTATACGGGTTATTATTATTTTTTTACTTATACTACTTCCCGGGGGATGCTCCCTTATATTGACTATACCGGTATGTGCGGCCCCTAAGGTAGCGGTTTTTCAGCCGTTTTGGTCATAAATAAGGTATCGATTTTGGCCATTTTGGTCCCAAATAGGGTATGGTTTTGACACTCTAGTCTTGATATGCCTTAAGAAGATGCTACTTTTTCATCATTATCGATAAGACCATCAACAAAAGCTCTTTACAAATTATGTTTCGGGCAATTCAACATTGGTTTCGAACTAGGGAACTAATTATATGGCAGGTCTGAAACAGAGTACTGATTTAAAGGTTAGCTGGTTAGGTCATAAATAGGGTATCGAATATTTGGTCAAGTCATAAATAGGGTAGGGAAAATCGCAGATTTTGGTCATAAATAGGGTAAGGGTTTTGAGATGCGGGCCGCACCCCCACTCAATTTTTCTGGGAGTACCCTCTCCCTCCCCGGATACTACTTAGTCGGTTGATCTCAGTCATTCCTCTTTGACCTTAGAATCGAGGACGCGGTTATAATTGGTATGACCATCTTCGGTTGTTCTTTGGTCTGCAGTTACGCTTTCCCTGAAGGATCCAGAGGCAAACAACGAGCCAATTTTTCAGAATTCATCATGGACCATCAGAGCCTCGAATTGACCAACAAATCAGCATTTCTAACAAAATAATTGTAGTTGCTCGCAAACTTATTTCTGTTTTTTTTTTTTCTGGGAGAAACATGACTGATAACAATTTTTGATACTCTTTGCAATCTAGTAGTTCTATGGAGGAGGTTGGGGCGGGAGCTTTGTCAGTTGCGAACGGATATGTATATGACAGAGCACAGGATTGTGGTTAGTCTGCGAATACAGCCACCTCTTATTTGCAAACATATTGAAAGATAGAAGCACGACAGACAGCAGCTCTGTCAATTCATATTTGATGCGGTAATTTTTTGCGTTGTGCAAAACTTGTCTTTGCGTTACAACGGAAAAATGCGCGAATAGTACTAGTGCAGGAACAAGTTAGGGTCGTTTAGAAATGAAATGAACGCGACGTAAAACGGGATTTTGGTACATGCAGTTTCATGGAATTCCTTTCAACTTTCTTACGATCCAGCGCTCACACAAACACTCACCCATCGCCGAGGGTGCTAGGCTGTCATTGGAATAGTCCTATCCATTCCCACCCGTTCCAATCACTCTCGCAGTTGAATCCTTTCAGCTTCACGGCTACCCTGCGACTGTCCAATACGCCGGTATAATCTAATCCGGGATATTGTGATCGGCTGTACCGCACGGGCAACGCTTATCAGGACCAGAAACCTCTGACAAGACGTAAAAAAGACTGACTTACTGAATGAAGACTACTGATTGATTGATTGATTGACTGACTGACTGACTGACTGACTGACTGACTGGCTGGCTGGCTGGCTGGCTGGCTGACTGGCTGGCTGCCTGACTGGCTGGCTGCCTGACTGACTGACTGACTGACTGACTGGTTGGCTGACTGGCTGGCTTTCTGACTGGCTGGCTGACCGACTGACTGACTGACTGACTGACTGACTGGCTGACTGACTGACTGACTGACTGACTGATTTGACACATGCTATGTTTTATACCCATAGGGAATCTTAAGACGACACTATATTACAAATATACACTATATAACAATTATTTACAAAGTGAAGGTCATTCATTAATTGACAACAACAACACAGCAACAACTTTTTAACTTTCCATTGAATTCAAGTGGAATCCTTTAATAACCTCTTTAGAGTAAGAGTCAATCAAATTCATTTTTTTTCAGTGATTTGCAATGGACGTGGAAGATATGAACGAATGAGAACATGTCTGGAGCGGCGTTTGCTGACGTCATTCTACATAACGCCAACTTTATGAGGAGACGGGAAAAAAAGTCTTCTTCAAACGATGTATTTGAAATTTACAACCTTTGCACATGGACTATTTCTGAGCGCCTTTCTTCTCCATTTCAAATTGTATTCTCATGTCTTCCATGAAAGTGAGTTTTACTTACATTTTACACCATCGTTTTACACCGTATTTACTTACATTTTACACCTTTTCTGAAAACGCTGCATTAAAACAAATCATAAATAGCCTTTTCCAGTTTTCAGCAGGACATTACTGCTACTGAACAGAACAAATTTTGCTTCGTTTTTTGATATTCTTATTAATTTCTTCAGACTTGCTCTCTGCCGATTTCCACGCCTCTCGCGGGCTTTTGACTGTCTTGTGTTCTTCCATTCTTTTGACTTCAACAATATTATTGTTTGCATCAGGTTTCTTAGCCAAGCCTGAAACAAATTCAGATTAAACAAAACAAAACTTCAGAATATTCATACTAATGCAATTACAGCAGTCTAATTGGCTGAGTTATCACACACTATCAGCCATTAGTACAATTTCAGAGCTGAACAAAGAGTTTCCAGCAATCTGATTGGTTGAGAGATTCCTTATATGACGCTCCACCTTTGCCATCTCGGCAAGTAAACATGGCGCACAGTTGCTGAATCAATTTTTCAATTATTCGGAAGACATCAATCCAAGTCCAGGATATTTGAAAGGATGGAGAATTTTCAAAATAACTGCTGTCGCCTTTGGACCAAAAATCCTTTCAACAACTCGTATTTAAGGCGTATCATTTAAGAATCGTAAACGCAGTGGTTACGTTGATCCCCACCAGGTCAGATCGATTGACCGATATATATATATTGCCTGATGAGTGTGGTCATCCTTTGACCATACGAAACAGCGTTGTCGCAATAAAACGATGAATTGAAGTCTTGCTACTATTGTTTATTATATA